CCCCCCAAAAACAAAAAAACTTAAGAAGATATTGCACATCTCACACAATATTTTCTGGCATATCCTTCATGGAGAATAGTTGTGGTACTAAAATCATTAGGTCATCTTGCTCAACATCTATAAGACTGCTCTTCTCTGCAGATGAGAATCACAAAGAATAAGGTTAGATAATGGAAAAGCATGTTTTGGCATGACAATTTTCTGAAAAATACACACACATGCACTAAAACTAACCAAGGCGGGGTTCCAACTCATCCCATTTTCTCTTCTTTCTTTTAGCAACATCAGCATGGACAGCAATAACATGTTGATAATCTACCATTCCTTATGAATTGTACAAATATGTGTGCACCCAACATTTTGTTAATATAAATTATACCATGGAATGATTAGCACTGATATAATTTGTTAATAATTTTACTCATAACATTAAAAAAAAAACTTCAAACCATTAAAATGATAGGCTTCAGCAACTTGAGCAACAATATCAGCTGAGAGATGTGGTTTCAAAGCTTCCTCTTTCCTCCCTTCAACATGTTCACAAGAATCAGCTGATATCGTTTTAGTTTGATTGGCTTGTTTGGAGGCTTTAGAGAATTCAGGATGTGACTCATTTTGTTCAATATTAACCAACCCCGCTGAAGAAGAAGATTCTGACGATCTACAGTTGGTATCTGCATTTTCGGAATCCATAACTTTCTCTCGTGTTATTTTTAACAGGAAACTTCGAGAAAGCTTAAGCTTTCCAAAAGCAGGATGTGAATACGGATCTTCAGGCCGGAAACGGAGCTCCAACCTGTTTGTCTGTGAACTGCGAGCCTAAAGTTGAATATATATTCATCAATATACCACTAAATGAAAAACAATCATTGAGGTTAATTTTCAGTGCTAGTGTCATCTGTTTCAGCCTATTGATGCAGTCACAATATAAATATGTAGCTACATTTCCCAGGAATCTGTAATAACTCTTTCCATATATCCCGGGGAGAGGGGGGGGGGGAGACTCAGAAGATATGCGAATGGCGGAACGCCAAACGACTTGACAATTTGACTATAGGACTATAGTATATGTATCGGATGTTTCCATGAGAACTGAGCAGCAGATCTCCTCTTATTTTGGGAAAGCTGGTGGCTGCGTGTGAAATATTTCAAGGCAAAGGTACGTAGCCTCTGAATGAGTTGAACTATGTTCAACAAATCTTGATTCAACATTGTTTGGGGGGGGTGAAGAAGTATATAGTCCCTCTGTCCCGAAATAAAATTCCACAATTGATTGTGCACAGTTATTAAATAAAGGTGAAAGTGTGGAGTGGAGTTTTGTGCATAGAATAGAGAAAGTATGTTACGTACACAATTCCTTCATCAAAAAGAAAGAACCTATTTTGGGGACAAACAGAAAAAAGGAAATGTGGAACCTTTTTATAGGATGGAGAAAGTATATTATATACTGTGCAATGGCACCGCTAGTGTCACCGTTGGCGAGTGTCAACAGAACCGTGTTAAAGAAATAAGAAGACGAACTTCACATCCAGACAATAAAAAGAGCATTGTATAGGTATTCAGGTAACGCTCAACTACGCACACTCTCGTACCAAGTACATTAAATTATGGACTTCCAATATAAAGTCTTGGCAAGAGTCACAGCTAATCTAATTCAGGGGTTTGAGGGTGAGCGATCACCTTGGACTTCCAATGTGATTTCTGACTTGGGACAAGGTTGCCAAAGTTTTTTTAAAAAAGTATAAGCATTGAGAGTTTCTATTCATTCCAAGAATCGTATCAATGGTTGTTGCAAGCAATGGAAAACTTCATATCAAACTACCCAACCCTAACACCGTGTTTCCATTAACTAACAACACAGCCAAAGAGTGACTCGACCATTACCAAGATGAAGAATACAACTTCCTGTTGCTTTTCATCTGTAACTAGCAATGGACATGAACCCAGTTCAAGTAGCAGAATAGTCATAACAAATGTTTATCTAAGCATCCAAACCATGATAAAGTATAGGACGCCTATGGAAAAAAGTTGCATCAACATAGACATAATTGCTGCATAAATCTCTGAATAAAGAAAGTAAATAATACGATAAACATTGACACACTTATCGAGTACAAAATTGCAGACCTTGGCAATGGCATCAGAGCCCCCCAGAGTCTCTACGGCGCGTTGGATGGATGACGGATAAGCAGGATAGTGAACGGCGAAGACCTTGTTGCTGCCGGGTAAAATTCCAGAGATTGACCCGTCTTTTATGATACCCATTGTTTTTGCTTGAGCCTTTCTGCTTTCCGGCAGAGTTTAGTGTTTACTCTGGAGGGGAAGGGACTCAAGTGAGTTATTTTACTGAGTAATTTTTCTCCAATCGAAACCGGAAAAAAACGGGATGAAGATGAAGGAAGCGGAGAGGGAGGACCCCGCCGGAGAGAGGAAAGTTTAGAAACCAGATGAAGACTTTCAGGAAGACCTCCGTCGGAAAATCCGCCGGAAGAATGTCCCGAAATAACAAATAACAGAAGGGGGAGAAGGCATACGATTATTGTGGGACCTATATGAATAAATATTCCCTCCCTCCTAAAAAATTGTAACACATGAATTAAATGTAATTAAAAATAATTAAATACTCCGTATTAAAAAAAATATGAAATTTCAAAATTATATTTTGAAATAATTTTAATTTTATTAAATTTACATTATAACTAAATACTCCCTCCGTCCTAAAACCATTTTCCCACTTCCCTTTTTTCTCCGTCCTAAAACTACCTTCCCACTTCTTAAAAAAAAGTATGAATTGACTATCTTACCCCTCTCTCAATTATCTCAACCCTGGCTTCTCTCTTCCGTCTCTCTTCTCCCTCCTCCCCCCTCAAAATGTAGATCTAATCTTCTCCCGTCTCTCTCAACCTCCTGGCTTCTCTCTTCCGTCTCTCAAAATGTAGATCTCATCTTCGCTCCACCATCACCGATCAGACTGCTCTGAGCACGTAAGCCACCGGCGACCTTTCTCCGTCTAAACCCTAGATATATGTCTCCCCCTTTCTCTGTTTGTCCTTCTCGACCTTCTCTGTCTCTCCTTCTCTCGCTCTCTCTGTAACTTCCATCTCCCACAAAATCTTAGATCTATTCTTCACGTCCTTCATATGGATTTCGCTGGAGAGGAGATTCACAGAAAGATCCAAACTTTCAGGAGAAGTGGTGTTTCCTACTTCATATGGGATGAATCCATCAAGAAGATAACCAAACATGAAGATTGAAATTAGTTTTGTTGGATTTCCAGCCTCATTCGAAATGGGACTGATGAGATTTGCCCTAAAAATGTTTGAATCTTCCTCAAATTACCAAATTACTACGAGATAATTCCTTCGTATGAGTTGTATCCTATTTCCATGTGGGTTAAAGATTTGAGCTTTCCCAGTATCAATGGGAATTTTTCAGCAAGAGAGATTCTCCAGTTAGTCGTACTCAGAAGTCGGAAGGGAATGAAATGCCTTAGTTTTAATTTCAAAGTTTTAATGGAGTGGCAAAATTGGAAGTCAAAGTAAAATTAACTAATCCCTTAAAAATGGCCTAAAGTCAAACCGAGAATGTTGATTTAGGACGGAGGGAGTATATTTTTCCATAATTTATAGTCAAACTATAATTCTTTGACCATAAACCATACGAATAGGACACCTGATTACTCGATTTGGTTTCAATATCATGGGAATCCCTCTGGTATATTTTTGGCACAAATACGTCGAGATATATTCTAGAACTTTATTACTCAATAATCAATTTTGCAACTAATGAAAATAAAATAAACTTTTTAGTGCAAAAAAACTCCATTTTGTAACAAAAAAAATCCAATTTATAATTTACGTATTTACTCGTAACAAAAAAAAGTCCATTTTTTATTTTATTTTTACTAGTACCCGCCTCCTCCATACTGGTTGGTAAAACAACCGCGAGTTTCTGTCAACCCGACCCGCTCCCGCTGTCAACATATTCCCAGTTCCACCCGCCCCGAATTTAAATTTCACAACTCTTGTATACAAGTAACAAGCTCATGGTTCTCAGACTATCTTTAAGAAGACTGAAACTAGTGAATCATAATATTCAAAATCGTCTGCAAAGATACCATTTTTATCACTCTCAAGCCATCGATTTGGATACCGTAATCCATCATGTTCAAGATGCCCGCCACCCGTTTGATAAAACTCCTGACAGAGACAGAAATGATTACAATTCCCTGCTTTTTGAGTACTCGAGCGGTGGTTTGAATGTAGAGGTTATAAAACTGTTTTTTGGCATTCACCGGTCTGGTTTCTTGATAAACTGGTGCAGCCTTTCTTGCATGCTGAAATCTTGTGGGTGCTTGTTTAACCAAGTTGTTGGGAAACAAGTTCACTGTCATTGTGTGAGAAGTGGGTTTTTAGCGGATGTTAGCGTGGGGACATCACTTATAGACATGTACATGAAAACGGGAAGTGTCCTTGATGGGGAGAGAGTGTTTGACGAGATGTGGGGACCGAATGTGGTGACATGGACAACGCTGATTGCGGGTTATTCGAGCAATGGTTTGATTGATAGAGCATTACAAGCTTTCAAATTTATGCAAATGGAAGGGGTCAAGCCTAACCAGTTTACATTTGCCACAGTCTTTGGAGCTTTGGCAGGTGACGAAACCCCCGAAAAGGGATTGCAACTGCATGCATTGGTCATCAAGTGCTGTTTGGATGCAACTTTGTTTGTGGGGAATTCCCTAATCAGTGTATATTCGAGGTCAGGAATGGTTGAAGAGGCTAAGGCCGTGTTTGACATGATGGAAATCAGAAGTGAAGTCTCATGGAATGCCATGATTGCCGGTCTTGTGAGCAACAGACATGATTTTGATGCTCTTGAATTGTTCTGCAAGATGAGGTTTTCCCATGTCAAGCACACTAGGGCTACGTGTGTCACAGTTATTAAATTATGCTCAAATCTCAGGAATTCTGAGCTGGCAAAACAGCTTCATTCTTGGGTTATGAAGAGTGAGTACGCATCCGATCAGAATATCAGAACTGCTCTGATGGCCTGTTACGCAAAGTGTAGTGAGATGGATGATGCCTTCAAATTGTTCTCTTCTATGATGAATAGGAATGTGGTCTCGTGGACAGCAATGATTGGGGGATACCTGAAGAATAATTGCAGATCAGAGGAAGCAGCAAATCTATTCTGTCAAATGAGAAAGGAAAATGTCAAACCGAACCATTTCACCTATTCAACCATCCTTGCCGCTCATCCCACCATCTCTATCTCCCAATTACATTGTGAGATCATCAAGACCAATCATGAAAGCTCGCCCTTAGTGGCTACTGCATTGTTAGATGCTTATGTTAAGACAGGTCGGATTGATGATGCTTCAAAAGTGTTTGAAAATATTCAGGAGAAGGACATAGTTGCTCGCTCTGCAATGATAGCTGGTTATGCCCAAAACGGAGATACTGAACAGGCTATAAACGTTTTTATCCGGTTGGCAAATGAAGGGATGATCCCAAATGAATTTACATTCTCTAGTGTCATTAACGCGTGCACCACCTCAGCATCTGCTGTGGAACAAGGAAAACAGTTTCACGGATCATCGATTAAATTTGGATACGATAATGCTCTATGCGTAAGTAGTGCCCTTGTTACCATGTATGCTAAAAGAGGAATCATAGAGAGCGCAAATGCGATTTTCCAGAGACAGAAAGAAAGAGACTTGGTTTCATGGAACTCTATGATCATAGGATACGCCCAGCATGGTTATGCGCCGAAAGCATTAGAGGTTTTTCATGAAATGAGGACCAAGAACGTCGAAATGGATGTCATAACATTTATCGGTGTTATTTCTGCTTGTACACATACAGGGCTAGTGAATGAAGGTGAAAAGTATTTTGACTTTATGGTAAAAGATCTGCAAATCCCTCCATCCATGGAAATCTACTCGTGCATGGTAGATTTGTACGGCCGAGCTGGAATGATGGAGAAAGCAATGTCACTGATCAATGGGATGCCCTTCCCCGCTGGTGCTACCGTGTGGCGTACTGTTTTAGCAGCATGCCGAGTCCATCGAAATGTGGACTTAGGGAAACTTGCAGCAGAGAAGCTAATATCACTGCAGCCACATGACTCTGCAGCATATGTCTTGCTGTCCAACCTGCACGCTGCAACTGGGAATTGGCAAGAAAGAGAGAGAGTGAGAACTATGATGGAACAAAGACGAGTAAAGAAAGAAACTGGGTACAGCTGGATTGTGTTCAAGAACAAGACGTACACTTTCACAGCTGGCGATGTTTCCCATCCCATGTCAAAGAGTTATACGAAACTTGAAGAATTGAGTGTCCGGTTAAGAGAAGCTGGATATGAACCAGATACCAGTGAGGTACTTCATGATGTGGAAGAGGAACATAAAGCAGCAATTTTATCCATGCACAGTGAAAGGTTGGCTATTGCTTTCGGGTTGATTGCCATGTCTCCTGGCATTCCCATCCAGATTGTCAAGAATCTGAGGGTCTGTGTTGACTGTCATACTGTGATTAAGTTAATATCCAAAATAGAGAGTAGGGAGATTATTGTCAGAGATTCAAACAGATTCCATCATTTCAAAGGTGGTGTGTGCTCTTGTGGGGATTTCTGGTGATCTGTTTTTTGTGCCAATTAATGCCAATTGTTAACTCACTCCCATACACTCCATCTCATGGCTGACATCAGGACAAGTTTTTTTTGTACTTTCTTTTTGGTCAAGTTTTCCATAATGTTAAGTATCCCACATCAATTGCTCTACCGTGGGTTCTAAGTTATCATTTTTTTGGTATAGACTTTATGTTCCTTCTTATCAGACCTAAACATCACCATTCTAATCAGCAAGAAAAGCAGATCTGCCACCTGTTCATACAAATTTCAATTGCCAGTCACTCTTTCATGCAAATTGAGATTAGCATTTGTACATATAACGCCCGTTTGGAAATAGCGTTTTAGATACAATGTTAACGGTGCAGATTAATTTTGAAAATGTAACGCTTAACAATGCCCGTTGATAGCCTTTTAAAAACGTTAACACCAACATCTAACGTCATTCCCAAATAGGCCCATAATCATAAAGTTACAACTTACGTGCGAAAAGGAGCAAGAATTTAACTTGAATATATGATATTGCACTGGCGAAATTGTTGTGGTTCTACAACTTATCTCAAAAAAAAAAAGGAAAAAAAAACACAGCATGTGGAAGCACCATCCAGCTTCATTGCTACTAGAATGGAAACCTGGTACTATTATTTACTCATTGAAATTTTGAAGCTATGCAATCAGCTTTTCCTCAACCAACATATTGTTACTATAATTTATAACAGCTACATGGACCAGATGGGGATAAACCCCTCATGTGGTTTTTTCTATACTTTGGCATTCAATGATCTGAAAATGTTATACGGCATACATCCTCTTGTAGTTCTCATTATACAGCTCTGTATCTGATACTGCCATGGATGCTGAAAATGACCGTGACATTGTCCCGGTCTTCCTCACATTCCTCATCCTTGACTCCTCCATCCTATGACGAATCACACAGTAGCACATGGAACCAATGGTGGTTAACATTATCACTCCACCCACAACTGTTGAATAGATGGCAAGCCATTGCTCCTTGACCCCAACCACCACGTACGTGAGTGAGATGAAGGCGACTGAGATGAAGAGACAAGCAGCCCACATGAGCTTGTTTATGATGAACACCATCTGCCGCTTTGCCTTTTGCTCAATCACAACCACAGATGTCTGAACAACCACGACGGCTATAGAGATGAATAATGCCAGGCTGTCAAACAAAAAGAACACTAGGAAAGCTGGTTTGTTTGCCACCTTCGCCTGACCAAGAGTAACCCCTTTCATTGGTTTCTCAATGTATTGCCCTGGAACTGTGAAGATTGCAGCAAAGGCGACAGTGGCAATAAGGACAGCCACAACTGTGAGAGAGTTTATGGCGTTGTTGAGGCCGCTGATGTGAAGCTTCTTCACTTTCTTTGCTATTTTCTTGACGCGGAAGCCGGTCTGACGACTTTGTTGAAGCTGTGATTGCACATCGTGCTTTATATCACTGACGGTCTGTTTGAGTTGCTTCGTTGCATTTGGAGGAGGCTTTGCATGGTCCTTGGAACGAGTGGCCCCTGCCTCCTTTAACAAAGCTGCAATGTCTGGAATTCCAAACTTTTCTGCAGTGTCAAGAGCCGTTTCTCCGGCTTTGTTGACCGCATTGATGTCGATACCCTCAATGGATAGTAAGCACCGAACAATCTGGCATGCAAGGAAACAAGAATGTTTTGTTTTAGGCAGGTTAATTCCTGGCTGAAAATAGTTGGTTAAGGAAGAGATATGAAAGAAGGAACTTATGTGAAGAACATAGCTGATGACATGATCTAGTCTTGCACCAAAAGATGAGAATTTAAATTATATGATATGATTACAAACCTGAGCTCGTCCCTTCCTAGTCGCGATATGTAGTGCTGTATTTCCTTTGCTATCCTCTAAAGCTATTACAGTTGGATCTGGTTTGATCAACTCAAGCACAATATCCACATTATGGCCCTTCACAGCCATGTGTAGGGCAGATTGGCCTTTCTTGTCCATCCTAAAGCCAATACTGGAGTCCTTATTTAGAAGCAACTTCACCACTTCCAAGTGGCCCATCCTTGCTGCAGTGTGGAGTACAGTCTTCCCATTGTTCCGAGCTATCTTAGCAAGGTTCGGATCAATTTCAAGAAGCAAACCAACCACTTCAACATGCCCTTGACCGGCTGCTGTGTGTAGGGCAGTTGAATTGGTTGAGTCCGTTGTCATCACTAAGTTTGGGAATACATTCAAGAGCTCCTTCAGCACTTCTGTAATTTCAGGCAACACAACATATAGATTTAGTTTGCATCTCACAAGGTGCATTTGGGAATCCAGATTATCTATTCCAGTAACTGTATTGTAACAGTTAGATTATTACTCGGTAGTCGGTACTAAATACATGTGGCTCTAGTGCAGTGTCAAGTGGGGTCGAATTATTTAAGCATCCTTCGGTAGTCTTATCTAGCTTATTCTTCCAATAAGAAGCAAAATAAGGCCAGTTTGATAGCCATTTTAACCAAATAACTTCAACCAAACAAGCTCTATGGACCCAACACGACAACCTGACAATTGGAATACTAGATCTCCTCTGACGCATATGGATCAAAATTTAGATATAAATGAAGTTTCTCTTCCTTAGGCAGTTAGATCTAAGGCTTTGTTTGGGAATGGCATTTTTTATTAGCGTTTTTGGATAAAATTTTAAAGGTCTTGATTACTTTTGAAAACGCTAATATTAAAGGCTACCGTTGATAGCCTTTTCAAAACGCTAAACTCTAACATTCTTGCCAAACTAGGCCTAAGTATCTATTACCAAACTAACATATGCCAAGTTGAGCATTCACAAACCTATAACACAAAAGTGGCAACACAAAATCTGCTAAAATAAATGACCAAAACTTTGAAAAAAATGTTAAAGAAAAACTGCTATAATCACAGGCAAAAGATAATGATGCAGAAGACTGACCAAGATGACCCTGTTTGGCTGCAACAAGGAAAGCATCATATCCATTGTTAGAGACAATAGAGGCAGTTTCAATGTCTAACTGCTTCAAGAATTCTCCAACAACTGAGGCATGCCCGTTTTCGGCAGCAACATAAAGAGCCGTCTCCCCTTCCTGGTTTTGCTTTGATAGAAAATCCTTCATGGATTGTCCATCAAGCTTCTGCATAATTTCTCTCACCTTATTGAGATTCCCAGCTCGAGCCTCGTGGTGAAGCCGGCTATCACCTCGTTTCCCAGGAGAATCCTTTCCCCTTTTGAAGCTTTTCTGCTTCTCCATAGCTATCCTGAAGCTTTTCTGCTTCTCCATCTGTCTCTTGAAACTCTTCTGTTTCTCCATCAGTACCACCCCATTTCGGAAACTCGTCTGTTTTTCCATTGCTGGACCTCAGAATTTACCAAACCTGGTTCTCTTTCAAGAACTTGAACCAGAAATTTCACTTTCAAGAAGATGAAGACCAGAAATTTTTCGCCATCGTCAGATTAATGTGTTGACTGAGTCAAAGCCAAGCCCGACACAATCACTTATCACAGTTCAAATCCTCAGACAACACCTACATATACACCTCAAACCCAACGGATTGAAGTTCACAATCTTCCATAATATGAACCCGAAACCCAGAATCTGAAGATAATGGTACCTTGAAACAGTGCAAAGATTGAAGCTTTCTCTATTTGATAAGGATACGAATCAACAAGAATACTGCCCACTTCTCTGAATCAGCAGAGTTTGACCGCAAAGATGAAACTTTTTAGCAATTGGAGAGTTTTCCGGGGAAACGCCAGCAGTAGAATCCAAGAAACTTTGTCCCCCTTCCTGAAAAAAGCTTAGAAACAAAGGGGATGGCCACTTGGTTCAACTGGCGTTAGAAAAAGATGAAAACCAATAATTGAAACAACCGCACTAACATGTCCCGCAACGTGGGTTATAAGAGTTGCGTATAAAAATAAAACTATGGTGTGATCTTTTGGATATTTTTACTAATTACTCCGTATAGCATATCTATAAATAATTTTTTAATCATATTGGTTTGTGATTATTTTGGAGTATAACTTTTTATTTGTAGTCATGTAATCGTATATCTAAATAATTTTCTATTTGAAGTATAATACAAGTAATAATAATAATAATACACTATCGTTCTTTTTATCTAAATTTTTTTATCTTAAAATAAAGTAATAAACTGAAACCTCTACGTTGCTCCATTGTAAAATTGATAAGGAGCACCGTAAATATTTTTAAATTTTATTATTATATATTTTTGTTAATATCACAAAATCTAAAAATTTCTTGAAATAAGAATGCATGGATTTTCATATATAAACAAAAGTCATTCACAAGAATATCAGTTATTCTGCGTGACTTTTTATATATAATCCATGAACATTTTAAACATAAGAATAGAAATATATGCTTGGACTCTAGATTATGAATATAAAATTATATATAATATGTCCCCTTTGTTTTTTATTTCATATTTATCTTATTTATAATTGCTTCTTTTCGTTCAATCTAATTCAAATAAGTGCAGTTCAGTGCAACACTTTTCAATTAACTTAGTTTCTCTTGCCCTAAGTTAAATCCAATCCACATAATTTAGTTATCTCAATTAACGAATGGTCTGGGAGATGCTCCTATTTGTTAAGGGATAATATCACTTGATAAAATATTTAAGAGCAATGCTAGGGGTACACCAAAAGTGTACCCCATTTGTACACCACCCCCTTCTCCACCACCCATTTTTAATTAATTTTTATTTACTAATTTTTTTTTTAATTTTCTTGCTTATTTGAGTGGTAATGAAGGGGGTGGGGGACAAATGGGGTACACCTTTGGTGTACCCCAAACATTTTTCAATATTCAAAGATGGGTAGCTTGGATGGTTTTGAGGGAAGAATGTTAAGTTCGGGGTTTCCAGCCTGATTTCTGACAGCAATTATGTATTTAAGAATTTGGATGGTGAGCTTAGACGATCTCGAGAAGAGAATGTTACGTTCGAGACTTCAAGATTGATATTTGACAACGATGATGTGATAATTTCATCCAATATGATATGCCGTCGGTCTTTTAATAACTTATGTTTTGTCTATTTGAAAAATAAATTAAAATATTACTATCACCTCTTATTTTGCAGAATATTTGATATAGTTATGAATAGTGTAATTTTTACTGGTATTATTTATTTCTATACCAACTTGTAAATAAAATTATTTAAAAGAGATGACATTTTGCATGTTTTTCCGAAATGGAAAAAATAAATTAGAACAAAGGAAGTTT